ATTGAACTTAGAGATCTGGTGTGTGTCACTTCCCCACACCCACTCTTCCAGGCTCAGAGTGTACCTGTGAGGGTCCTGGTGTTTTTACACGTCACCCAGCTGGTATTTCAGGAAGGCTCAGCTTTGAAGGACGCTGTTTCTCCACCAAGACTTGTCTCGCCTTTCGAGGCGGAGTGAGTATGGCAGAGGGCCTCAGGTGCAGGACACCTGTCTCGTTTGGGAGTCTTTCCGCGGGAGAACTGCACGCATGTCCGGGTGGCTGGCCGGTCGCAGCCTGGGCGTCCTGAAGGGAGTGTTCAGGAAGGACATGTCGTGAATGAGCTCCAGCCTGGACCCGTAACAGTTGTCATTTCCTTGGTACCCCTTTATTTTAAATCCCTTTCTCTTTCCTTTTTTTTTTCTTTTTCTTTTGTTCCTTTGCCTTCAGGCAGTACCATCTCATTCTATGGAACAGAAAAGGCATCAACCCAGACGTATTTCCATGCACACTAACTCTTTCAAAAAAGAAAAGAGACCGGGTAACCCTCTACCCTCTCTTAAAAAATTCACACTGACTCTCCCTTTTGTTGGTATTGGATGGGAAGTAGAAAAACAGAAAAATGTAGGACAGAGCAGAGCAGAGGAGGATAGGAGATTAAAAAGAAAGGAATTGAAACAGGATCTGTGCTTTATGTGAACCTGGGAAGTTGGCCAGGCCCCTGGGCCAGGTGGTAGGCTTCCTAGACGAAACCCTGATCTTGAGACACCTTTGGAGGCAGCGGGGGTTGGGATGGGGTAGGATTCTGGAGGGCGAGGCAGGCCAAGGAGCACCCAGGAGGCCTAGATTCTGCTTTGGATCAACTGTTCCCTGGCACAGCTCTTCCCCTCAGCTTCCTTGGGCTGCTGCTGCTGTGTTTGGCCTTCTCTTGGAATTGCTGAGCACTGGGAACTCCCGTAAGGGGATTTGAGACAAGGGTCAGAGGCTCACCTGGAGGGGCTGTTCTCCAACTTCCAAGCAGATTCATTTTGGGGGTTGACAAAACACATCTGCTGCTCTTTCCACTGACCTGTGGCTCAGCGAAGCGGGGCAGGGACACGTAACAGTGGCTGGCTCAGACCAAGGTACTGGGTGACCCCTAAAAAGAAAGAAAAGCGACTCCAGTTTCAACACTGAGTTTTGTGGGAGGGTTTTTCGGGTCCATGAGTGACTTTTGGCTTTTTTCCATTTTGAGGTTGGTTGGTGACCTTTAGCTAGCATCACCTTAAGAACAGGAGTTCCTGCACCCAGAGAAGCTGTGCGGGGCAGGTGGAAAGAGCCAGAGTTCAAACCTCGCTCTCCCTTTATAGATATGTGCCCTTAGGCAAGTTTCTCATCCCTCGCACCTGTGAAATGGGAACACAGTAAACCCTTAGTTTCAGACCTTGATTTAACAGACTTCAGATTTAACAGACAAAAATTCCAGTCCCTAGGTCATAGAAATTAATACCCTGTTAATTTTTAAATGCTTTAAACCAAGATTTGCTTATAATTAAATTAACAGGGGTTTTTGGGTTAGTAATTAACTTATATTAAATAAATTTTAGCGAACAGAACATGCTTTGGACAAAACATTGGAGTAATTTCACTGACATAAATAAATATTACATATCTGCAGCTCTAGCGCACATATTTAAAACCAAGACTCGCGGCTCGACGGCAGCGCTCAGGGGATGCCCAGCAGGTGCGCGCACAGCATCGCGCAGGAATGGGCTCTGTGGTCACGCGGTGTGACTTTCTGCAGCAGTCTTAGTGTGTGGTGACCCGTGAACGCACGCATTACTAGACCTATTCAGTATACATTTAGAATTACAATAATACATACAGAAAACTTTTCTGTGAAATTAAGCTTCTCATACATACTTAATTTTAATTACACAGATATGTCTACATAAGTCAAAACAGGTAAACTAACTAATTTGTAAGTTTTTTAACAAACGCATTTTGAAAACCTACTTTCAGTTTTAACGAACACCCCCCTCACCCGACTTAGTTATATTGAGGTTTACTGTAATGATATGCTTTAATTTACGGAGATGTTGCCAGAGTTAAGAAGACTGTAAAGTCCGGCCGGTGTGGCTCAGTGGTTGAGCGTCGAGCCATGCACCAAGAGGTCGCCATTTCGATTCCCGGTCAGGGCACATGTCCAGCTTGTAGGCCCGATCCCCAGTGGGGGGCATGCAGGAGGCAGGCAATCGATGTTCTCTCTCATTGATGTTTCTCTCTCTCTCTCTCTCTAAAATGAATAAAGAAAAAAATTAAATAAGATTGTATAAAGCAGTTGGTGTGCTCTGGTCCTTAGTTACTTACTAGTGACCAGTTCCTCTCTTCCCTAACTACTTCAGGTAGCGTTTGCTTCATTAATGTGGAGAAACCAGGCAGTTATGTAGTTTCTAAGGAAAGGTTGGGCAGACAGGACAGCACTTTGCAAGCCATTTTCTGTAAGAGCCATACGGTCACTGTCCATCCTGAAACTTCAGCTGGCTTTGCAGGGTCCTGGGAACAGCAGGAATTATATGAGGCTTCCACATTATGCCCAGGGAATTTATAGGCCACAGAGAAGTAAATCGATGCATTTTGTGCTCACTGCATCATAACAGATATGGGTACAATTTAGCAGTTGGTTTTCTTGGCAACGGGGAAAAAACAGCACCTGGTGTTAGATCGGTGGAGTCAGACTGGACCTCGGTTCAGCAACCTTGGTACTTGAGTTCTGGCTAAGGAAGAATTCAGAGCCAAGACTCAAACTATAAGAGAAAGTGTATTTAGCAAGTCACAGAGGTAGAAGAAGTGGGCTCAGGCAACAAGTTATAGAGGCAAAAGAAGGGCCCTTGGAGCTTAGGAGAGAGCCGGGTACAGGTAAAGCACCAGGAGGGGGAAGAACAAAGGGGACCGGAAGGGCAGTCGGGCTCCCAGAGAGAGCCCACTGGGTCCTCCTTCCTCAGGGCTTTTAAGGGTGGAGATTTTAGGGGAAGTTCCAGGGAAGGATCTCAATAGAGTATTCATCAGCCCTGGCTGGTTTGGATCAGTGGTTGGAGTGTCGGCCCACGGACAAGAGAGACCCGGGTTCAGTTCCCACTAAGGGCATGTACCTCGGTTGCAGTTTGTCCCCAGCCCCAGTTGGGGTCGTGTGGGTGGCAGCCACTCAACGTGTCTCTTTCACATCGATGTTTCTCTCTCTCTTCACCCCTCTCTCCCTCCTGCTCTATCTGAAGATAAATGCAAAAAAAAATAAAATGTCCTCAGGTGAGGATAAAAAAAATTAAAAAAAAAAAGATTCATCAGCTCTCCAGGTATGTTCTTTAAGGTTGTGTTCTACAATGAGTGGTCAGTGCCAGGGTCATTGGTCATTAGTCAGTGCAGCTGGTCCTGGTGTCAGCCTTGGTGTGGCTTGTCTGGTTTTGCAAGGGTGTGGTTGATGGGGTCTTTTCTGGGTCTGGAACTGAAACACACTCAGGCCTAGATGTATTTGATGCGGGTCAGGATCTCATTGTCCTGGGAGTTTATTGCTTAAGGGCTATTCTTTGCCCCCCTTGTTGGTTTCCCCACTAAGGGGGTCTGACCCATATACTAGCAACATGTCAGGGGAGGATTTGAACCACATGACCATCAGTGTGAATGGTCAGGGGTCTCAACTGCATGGCCATCAGTATGCTGGGGGAGGAAAGGTCACCCTGGGGGTGAGGTCCTTGTTTTCCCAGTTTTGCCTGTTGCTAGGCACCCGGGGATTTTCACCCTGGTGACTCTCTGTACCTGGCCCACTGGCCTTGCTCTGCTCATGTCTAACTGCCCGCCACAGTTTAACCATAGAATTCGGCCGAACTTGGGGCCACTACAGGACTTGACACAGTGATAGGGATGATTCAGAGACTTAAGGCTTTTTAAAGATGTGAATGACTCTCTCTGTCTGATTCTGTGTGGGTTCCCCTTGACCCACAGCCTCTGTGGAGACACTCTTCTGTTGGTCCATTTTCAGTTTCATTTACCTTTTCGGTTGCTCCTGTTTGGAAAAAGTTAGGCCGGGGGCAGTAGCGTCAGCGACAGATCGAAGGGGTGGTAACATTATTGCCTTTATCAATTTAAATCTTCTTCAGAATTCCCATCAGCGGAAGGGTTAAGTCTCATTTTCTGAGCCGAGATTCGCAAACTTCTCCTTCTGTGGAGAAGTGGCCTGATTCTCACAGAGTAGTGTGTCCCTCTGGCTTTGCCCCTCCGGATCGGCTCTCTGCGCTGGGATGAGTAACACTGCTCTTGCATTTGCCGCTTCATCTTAAATGAGTTCTCTCCTCAGACACTCAGTCCTGCTTGTCCACCGCTCATAATTTACAAAAAGAGACATGAGAAGTTCTGCCCAGAGCTGGGGTAGAGGGTCCCCTGCAGACATATCCGGGGAGTTTGGGCCTTGGTGTCCCTCCACTGTCACCTTGAAGGTCCCCCGATGTGAACACTGCTGCTGTCAGATGCAAAGTGAGTCAGGAGGACTTCTGACCAATACGTTCATTTAAAATGCCGCAGAGACTTACAACAGGAAGCAGCTGCATTTAGCTCCCCGCTTCCAAAGTTCAGGTTTTTTGCAATTGCTAGTATCACCTGCTAGGAACCTCTTACCTCCTGTCAAGCAAGACATGAGTCCCTCTCAAAGGTCTGTCAGATAGCCGAGATCTGCCGTGAGACAACCCCTTCTTCCTATTTCTTATTCATAGAAAAATGTTGGAAAACTGTAGAAAAGCAAAAGAAGTTGGGGATTTTATGTTGTCTTCCTTCAAAGGCGAATGCTGGCTTTCACAGTGACTTCACAGAAACCCATTTTATTTGCGAAGAATATCATTCTTGTATTTATTTATGTCCCACCTTCTCCCTCTGAGAAGGTAGAGTGATTTCTTTAAGTGAATGTGTGCCATAATTGTTATAGAAGGCAAACAGTCATCAGAACACATGGGTCCAGCTTCGGGAGTAGAAATTAAATGTTCTCGGCCCTTTTCAGGGACACGTGGTCATCAGGAACCATGAACAACCCATTCGCACACCTCGCCGAGCCTTTGGATCCTGCAAAACCAGGAAAGAAATTCTTCAATTTGAATAAATTGGACGATTCAAGATATGGTAGGTACATGGCTCTGTGATGTAATTGATTTGACAGCCATTGGTATGTCATTTACATAATAATTATGCTGTGTAAGGGTTGAAAGAGGGCCTAGCAGAGAACAGCTGAATGCTCTTGGATTAAGTTGTGTACAGTACACACACACACACACACACACCACACACACTCCCCTTACATTGCTCTTTTTTTTTTATCCTCACCCGAGGACCTTTTTCCATTTTTGTTTAGATAGAATGGGAGGGAGAGAGAAAGTGAGAGAGAAACATCGACGTGAAAGGGACACATCGAGTGGCTGCCTCCTGCACAACCCCAAGCGGGGCCGGGGACAGACTGCAACCGAGATACATGCCCTTAGTGGGAACCGAACCCAGGTCTCTCTGGACCGTGGGCTGATGCTCTAACCACTGAGCAAAACCGGCCGGGGCTACATTGCTCATTTTTAAGTAGGTGATGATGATTATATACAGGTAGCATTTACATAGCATTTTATAGTATATAGGGTGTTTTGTACATACATGATATATATTATTATCATTTAATCTGAATAACAACCCTAGAGGTCATGTTTATAAAGTGTAACAAGTCCTGAGGAAGCAGAATCCCCAGAGACATGACCCAACAACTACTTGGGCAGCAGAGTAGGACAGAACCATGCCTTTTTTGTTCCAAATCCTGTGCTTTCTTTTTTTTTTTTTTTTTGTGGTACATGCCCCTAGCAGGAACCGAACCTGGGACTTCCTGGTCCGCAGGCTGACGCTCAGCCACTGAGCCAAACTGGCCAGGGCCAAATCCTGTGCTTTTCTACCTTTACACCCTTGTCTTTTCCAGATGGTATTGGTGAAAAATTTTCTTATATCAGGATGCAGTATTTCCTTTCTAAATGAACAAAGTAGTTTTTCTAACAAATTGCTGTTGTTTTATCCTAGAAATCCCAGTTAACACACTATATGCTGTTGGGAGTTTTATTTTCTTTGAGAGATGTATGTAACTATACTTTGGTCTTAATTACAATAATTGTAAAAGAGTTATTTTCTCATTTCTTAGACACTAATTTTCATGAGAAAGATTATTGTGTGTGTGTGTGTGTGTGTTACTTGCACACATATAATACAAAAATATCTACACTGATTTCTTTCATGATGACTTAAGGGGAACCTGTTATTAGAATCCACGGCAAGGCAGCCATTTATTATGAAAAAATTCACTGTAATGTTTTATTTTTACCTAGTGTGTGGGTATTTTCTAGCAATGAATGTGTCCTAAACCCATTCAATATCTCCATGTTTTAAACTTTAATTTTGCATTTTCAAGATCAGTTTACATTTACCCTCTTTTCCTGTTGGAAGAATAGTCTGATACCTTATATCAAGATTATACAGAGATTGGCTTTAAAGAGTTCTTACAATAAGGTGTCTCATAGTTTTTCTTCGTTTTGTTATGCTTTCTCCCTATCCTAGGACGCTTACCATTTTCTATCAGAATTCTCCTGGAGGCAGCCGTTCGGAACTGTGATCAATTTTTGGTGAAGAAAAATGACGTTGAAAATATCCTGAATTGGAATGTCATGCAGCATGAGAACATAGAGGTGCCGTTTAAGCCCGCCCGCGTCATCCTGCAGGACTTCACGTGAGCCCGATGTCCCTGTGCTCTCTCCTCTGGAAGGAGGAAGCTTAAAACAACAGCAACGCCACAAAACACTCAGTGACTATATAATTTATCACCCAATAGCTAGATACTTTTGAAAACAGAAGGGGGCTGTTAATCCCAGACAGCAAGAGATTGTTCCAGGCACAGTGGGATGTGCAATCACTCCACCTCTTCGGGTGGCAAAGGTCATTGTCATGGTCTTGAAGACTGTAGTCCTAAATATACTAGTGAAGGTGAAAGAACTAGGCGTGGTGTCCCTTGGCATCGCTCCCGTGCTCCTGTCACTCGGAGACGGGTTGCAAACAGCTGTGCTTGGACACGGCTGAGCGGTCCCCGAAGGGCTGATGCACATGGACTTCGCAAGGCCTGACCTGGCGCCAGGAAGCCTTAGTTCACCTCCTGCCGTTCCCAGGAATCTTGGCTCCCCATCCGGCCCCTTTTTTGACATAGTCCTCCCTACTTTTCCATTTTTAAATGATGTTCATTCCTCCTAGAGACCAAATTTTATCTTTCTAGAGGAAGACACCCAAATTTTATATTCAAAATGTATAATACAAAAAGGAAGGATTCACTCAGAAATTTGATTCACAGCGTACTGTTCTGATTCATATCCGTTCCTGTAAATTTGGTCGGAAGTTGAATATGTGTCCATATGTCTCCTCCAGGTCTTTGCCAGCCGCCTGTGGCTGGGAGACAGTCATGGCAGTGAGCGGTCCAGGGTTCCAGGGCTGTCAGCGCCCGCTTTCCCCTGGTGGACTGCGATGCGGGGGTTGACGGGGTATAGAGACACCAGGCGGTCCTGGCACTCGCCGCCTAGGAGATTTCTGCTCCAGGAAGTGTGTTCAGATACGTTCACTTTCCTAAGCCGTCCATTGTCAGCTCCACTGGCAAGAGGGTTTCGTTGCCAGTTTTATCAGTGGAGACAAAAGCTGAAATGAACTCAATTACATGTGTTTGACAGGTTTATCTCCTGCTTAATTCCTTCTTTTCTCAGGGGTGTGCCTGCTGTGGTTGACTTTGCTGCCATGCGTGATGCTGTGAAAAGGTTGGGGGGAGACCCGGAGAAAATAAACCCTGTCTGCCCTGCTGACCTCGTAATTGATCATTCCATCCAAGTCGACTTCAGCAGAAGGTGAGCGATCAGCTGAGTGCCTGGGTTTTCTGCTTCAGGCAGAATCTTGGAGAGTAAGTCTATTTTGTGTGTGTTATGTAGTTAAATAAACGGAGGGAGTATTTAAAATGTATATTTAGGAAAACTCAAACTTAATGGAGATTTTCCAGTGAAGATTTTTACTTGGGGGCAGTGGGGGTAAGTTAAGAAAAAAATTGTTTGTTTTTTCTCCTTGGGGTGAGCAGCCTGTGTTTAAATCAGCCTGAAGTCGGAGTGAAGCGCACTCCCCTGAGTCTCTGCAGGGAGAGTTTGTCAGTGCAAGGATGCTCTGCTCTTTCTTTTTAACCACTGGATCCTTATTTCCTTGTTTTGATCTCAAGTCATTTATTTCTGGCTGTCTTCACCTCTCCAAGTGGGTTTCTGTAACACCTGTGCCTTTGTTTTCTTTCTGATGTTTGGGTTTTGATTTACTCCTCCCCAAATTCTTCCAATAACCCTAAAATCTCAGTGGCAGCTGACAGTAAGAACGTATTTCTTCCGCGTCCACACGTTGGTTGGGAGGCCAGCTGATCTATGCTGCGTGCAGGGGGGCAGCCCTGCTTCATCCCGCCCGGCTGGGTCCCGACACGGCCCTGCACGCCTGCAGGGGGCGCTGCACCACCCTGCGTGTCTCTGTGGGGCCCAGGCTGAAGGAGAAAGAGGGTCTTCATAGGCTCAAGAGGCAAGTAGGGACCCACAACTTGCTGAGCCCTAGATCAGGACGGACATCGGATCAATTCCAGTCAGGGGGACATTAATCAGAGCAGGTCCCACAGTCAGGTCTAAAGCCAGAGTTGGAGGGGAGCACAATGCATATTTCATGGAAGTCACTGCAAGATTATATAAGGGAAGGCAGCCAGGTCCTGCTAGGAGGCTGGTATTTTAACCTAGAAGTATAACTAGATTAAGTTCTTACCAATTATCAGTGAGGAAGGAAATGATTATTCTGCATATAATGCTGGGAAAATTAATTATTTGGTAGAGGGAGCAGTTCATATGAATTACAGCATTACTATTAAAATAATTAAATCATGTAAAATGTAGAAGAAAATTCAAGAATATATATTTCAGATGTCTGGATGTGCAAGACCTTTCTAAATTTTGAAGCAATGAATAAAACAAAAAAGGAAAAATTTTCTATAAATTTAATGACTTCAAAGTTAACAGGAAGTAACTTGAAAAACATTTGCAACAAATTTGACCAAGGGTCAGTATTCTTAGTACATAGCGTGTGGCAGGTGATGTCAGCAGCACAGTGCGTGAGACGTCCTCCTGGTCTCCCCTTGACGTTGGAAGTTGAACAGCTATAATTCAACGAAGGATCCCCTGCTTAACACACAAACACGTTTGAGAGATCCACACAGTGAAGCGTCTGATGGGTGACTCGGAGTGAACGGGAGGAGGAAAGGGGGAAGAAAAGCGCTAGGGGCCACAGACTCAGCCTGGCACTCGCTACAGGGACTCGAGGACTTGGGACTGGAGAGGAGTCAGGTACAGCGGGCACACTGCAGTCCAGGGGTACGGGGGAGAAGCAGCATTCCTGCCTGAGTGGTCAGCGCATGCTACGGCTGAATCTGGGAATGGCAGAGGCAACGCAGGTGCCCTTACCAGGCATTAACAAAGCCGGGGAGCTGGCTGCCTCCCTCACCCCCTTCCCCTTGCAGCTGCCCCAGCAGAAGCAGCGGTGAGTGTCGGGTTACACAGCACAGCATCTGCAGCCCCGAGAACTGGAGACTCAGAGAAATTCCTCTCGGAGCAGCAGGCCTCGCTGCGGCTGAGCCCCGTGATGGCTCGTGGAATACAGAAGTCTGGCATAGGGGGCCGGCAGCTGCTGGTAGTGGCAGGAGAACAAAGCCATAACTGCACGAATTGGCCTCTCCCAGCCATCTTGCCCTGACCCATAGCAGCCGAGTCCGCAGGAGGCGTCTGGGATAGCTCAGATACCCCAGCGCTGCCAGCAGCCCTGAGTTGCAGGACGCAGTGCTGGGATTTCACCGGCTTGGAACACCTTGCCCACCACATTCACCCTCTGGGGTCAGTGCCCCGAAACCGAGGTGACTGGTGACAGAGGGGACACCTGCCTCCCCAGGGAATACTATGCATTTTTCACTACCCTGCAGAGATCTGAGAAGCCTGAGCAGTTCAAAGGAAAATGAGAGTGTGTGTCAGTGCTACCTCCTGGAAAAGAAGAGAAAGACCTCTTTCTTCCCTCAACCTGCTAACGAGAAAAGTGCTGAACGCTCTAAAAAGGCAGATTACAGCCCAGCAGCTGCAGCTCAGTGGATTGAGCGTCCTCCCATGGACTGAGATGTCCCAGTTCAATTCCCGGTCAGGGCACATGCCCAGGTTGTGGGCTGGATCCCCAGTAGGGGGTGTGCAGGAGGCAACCAATCAATGTTTCTCACATCGATGTTTCTCTCTCTCTCTCCCTCTCTCTTAAAAAAAAAAAAAAAAATCTATAAAAATATTAAAATATAAAATAAAAAGGCACATTTCATTCCATCAAAGAAAATGAAAAATCTCCAGAAAATAAAGACATAGAAATATGTTATTTAGCCCTGGCCGATTTGGCTCAGCGGTTAGAGCGTCGGCCTGCAGACCAAAGTCACAGGTTCGATTCCGGCCAACGGCACGTACCTCAATTGCGGTTCGGTCCCCGGCCCTGGTTAGGGTTGCGCAGGAGGCGACCAGTCAGTGTCTCCCTCACATTGATGTTTCTTGCTCTCTCTTTCTCCCTCTTCCTCCCTCCCACTCTGTTTGAAGGTAAATGGAAAAATATCCTTGGGTAAGGATTAAAAAAAAAAGATAAGACCAAAAAAAAAGGTAAGACATTTTATAATGATAAAGAGGACAATACATAAAGAAGATGTAACACTTATCAATAAGTATGAACTCAATAAGGGAGCACCAAAATATTTAAAGCTACTAATTACAGAACTTACGGGAGAAACTGAGAAAAACACAATTATTGTAGGGGACTTAAGTATCCCATTGAAAGCTCTGTATAGATCACCCAAACAGAAAATCAATAAGGAAATACTGGTGTTACATGACACATTAGAGCATTTCATCAGAGCATTTCATCCCAGAACACCACATTATACAGTCTTCTCTGTTGCACAGGGAACATTCTCAAGGGGAGACCATATGTTGGGGCACAAAACAAGCCTCAACAAATTTAAGAAGATTGAAATCATACCAAGCATAGTCTCCAATCAATATCCATTAAATTGGAAATCAACTGCAAAAAGAAAACAGAGAAAAACACAAATATGTGGAAATTAAACAACCTACTGCTAAACAATGACTGGGTCAATGATAAAAGGAGAGATCAAAAGACACAGACAGATGAGAATGATGGTATGACATATCAAAACTTTTGGGATACAGCAAAAGCAGTATAAGGGAAATTTATATCAAGAAATAAGAAAAATTCCAAGTAAACAACCTAACATTTCACTTTAAGGAATTAGAAAAAGAAGAACAAACAAAGCCCAAAGTCAGCAGAAGGAAGGAAATAATAAAAATTATAGCAGAATTAAATGAAATAGAGAAGAAAAAGACAATAGGAAAATTAATTCAAGAACTAGTTTTTGTTGTTTTTTTTTTTATCCTCACCCGAAGACATTTTTCCATTTTTTATTCAGATAGAGTGGGAGGGAGAGACAGGAAGAGAGAGAGAAATAAACATTGATGTGAAAGGGACACATCGACTGGCTGCCTCCCGCACGACCCAACCAAGGCCAGGGACAAACTGCAACCGAGGTACGTACCCTTAGCGAGAACCGAACCCGGGCCTCTCTGGACCGCAGGCCGACGCTCTAACCTCTGAGCCAAACCGGCCAGGGCCAAGAGCTAGTTTTTTAAAAAGTCAATAAAATTGACAAACCTCTGACTAGACTCATTAAGGGAAAAAGAGAAAGATTCAAATACACAAAATCAGAAATGAAAAAGAAGTTACTGCAGACACCACAGAAATACAAAGGACCATACAAGAATAATATATGAAAGACTATGTGCTACCAAATGTAATAACCTAGAAGAAATTGAAAAGTTCTTAGAAATATATAACCTTCCTGGACTGAATCATAAAGAATTGGAAAATCTAAATAGACTGATCAACAGTAAGAAAATTGAAACAATCATCAAAAATCTACAAAGTAAAAGTCCAGGGCTGGATAGCTTCACTAGTGAATTCTAACCAAACATTCAAAAAAAGATTTAAGCCCTGGCCAGTGTGGCTTTATTGATTGGGCTTCGTCTCATGCACCAGATTTTAGTCTCAGTCACCAGCAGGGGGCGTGCAAGAGATGGCTGATCAATGTTGCACTCTCACATCTGTGTTTCTATTTCTCCTCCTCCCTTCCTTTCAAAAAAATCAATAAAAACATTTTTAAAAAATGTAATACCTAATTATCTCAAACTCTTCTAAAAAAATTACAGAAGATGCAGTACTTCCTAACTTATTTTTATGAGGCCAACACTACTCTGATACCAAAACCAGGGAAGGATAACAAAAAAGGAAAACTACAGATGTTCCTGATGCATACAGATGCAAAATCAACCAAAATACCAGCAAATCGAATACAACAATACATTGAAGAATAATACACCATGATCAAGTGGGGTGCATTCCAGCGGCGCAGTGATAGTTCAACAGAGCAAATTGATTCATGTGATACAACACAAACAAAATGAAGGCTAAAAATAGTATGAGCATAGCAATAGATGCAGAAAAAGCATCTGACAAGACACAACATCCGTTTATGATTAAAATGCTCAATAAAATGGGTATAGAAGGAAAGTACCTCAACTTAATAAAAGCCATATGCAACAGGCCCTTAGCTAGTATACTCGGTAGTGAACGGCTGAAAGCTTTTCCTTTAAAATTAGGAAGGATGCCCATTTTTTTGTGTTTTTTTTTTATCCTCACCCGAGGACATTTTTCCATTTTTTGTTCAGGTAAAGTGGGAGCGAGAGAG